AGGTTTGAAGAACTTTAAAGAGGACTTGCTTATTACCAAGACAAAAAAAAACAAGTAATTTTGAGCAAAAAAAAAACCGACTTCAATTTTCATATAAAAAAAAATATATATATATATATATATATCATGGTCCAATGATGGGATCCAAACCGGCTTAGTATGGGACCACCTCTGGGACACTACCTTTCCGATGCAAAAAGAATTATCGAAATCAATTGACGTGGTCCAAAGTTATGCGGTAACACACATAACTTAAAAAAAAATATTAAAAAAAAAAATATTCCGACCTCCTCCTTTTTTGGAAGTCGGTTAAAAATCAGCACCATTTTGCAACATTTCGGGCAGAAAAGTTTTTTGCAAAAATTCAAAGTTCAGAATGTTCCAGAAAAATAAACAGCACAGAGACAAAACAAGGTTCCGAAAAAAACTGAAAAAACATTTATTTTAAAAATTCGATTGCTGCATCATTAGCCGACTTTTCGCTTCGCTTCCAGGCCAGTAGTTTTACATTGCAAATTCCCGCTTTGGCAAGCTATCTACAGCTGTGGAAAATGGAGCATGTGTTTTCTAACTATGGGAACAATAAACACACAAAAGATATTATAAAGATAGTTTAAATATATAATGCAAATTATAATTAAATAATCAGTAAAATATGAGTTTTATTTTTAAAATAAGTTTATGAAATTTTTCGAATTTAGTGATGGACAATTTTTTCCCCAACGCAGTCCTTATTTCTTCAACATGATACAGTTGCTGCTCTTTAGATATCTTTTGAACAATATTCAGGAACGTGGGACCTTCATCATTGTTCACTGTATTGCTATAGCCCTTCACCTGCTTTGCAATATCTTCATTTATTATTCGCTTACAATCTAAACGCATTAAATAATCATCACGCTTACATACGTATCTTATAGTCATGCATAATATTTTCTATTAATAACACAAACGGCAATAACGCAAAATTTTCTGTATTTCACTTTTAAATGGGAAATAATACCAAAATCTGGGTCTTGCTTTATTTCCCATTACTTATTTATACTATTTGTAACAAAAACAGTTTACTGACGAGAAGGAAAAAGAACTTTGTTTATTCCAAAAATACAATTAAACAAAAAATGTCATATAATTCATATGAAGAAAGTAATATTCACAAAATATTGCTAGTTATGAAAAGTCTAACAAAATATAGGGAAAGTGTCGTCTTTAATAACTGCTCGGCAAATTGGACATAGCGCTTTTGTATGGATTTTATCTGCATGCTTTTTTAATATGTTTTAAACGTTGCTGGAAAACCAAGGCGAATATATATAAGGTGGTATCGATTCAACAAATACAACAATTACTTGTATTTTGTTTTTGCTTTTAGCGGGCAATTGTCAAATTTTAGCTATTCTTCGCCGAAGTAAAAAGGGCGACAGAAAATACAAACACTCATGTTTTCACTCACTCACTAACTCACTGACAATCAAACGCTACTCACAGCTGATGAAACAACACCACCTTATATAAATTCGCCTTGTGGAAAACCTTAAAATGTTTGCATGGAACCATTGCGCAGTAAACAGGTGAAGTAATAAAACAGCTTTCCCGCTTTTTGACATTCGGCTGCCTTATAGTCAAAATTTAAAGACAATTTTTCAAATAAGGCAGTGTCGAAATCTTTCTTCTCGGTCTAATTATGTACTTCACCTAGTATAGGTAATTCTGCCATGGCATGGAACCAAACAAAAGTTGCCGTTCCTGTTCGCAGCATACATATGTATGTATAACACAGAGAATATTGTTTTGAGCAAGGAATGAAACCGATTCAAAATAACGTTCCGGTTTGGGTTTCGGTTTTGCCAAGTGTTTCGGTTTCGGTTTTGGTTTCGTTCTTCAAAATGTATTTCGGTTTTGGTTTCGGTTTCGTTCCGGTTTCGGTTTTTCACAGAAATTTTGTTGATATTATTTAAATCACAATGTCTTAAAGGTTGAGGAAAGAAAATCGAAAATTACAGGTCACTGATAATATCAACACTAGGTTCTTTCCCTAACAATCCGGACCGGATGTGGTAATTAGAGAATAAGAGAAACATTTTCTTTCAAAAATGGAACAAAGTTCAGAAGTACGGAAACGCAAAAACCCACATTTCGTGCCCACAAGTCGAGAAACAGCTGATTCACGTTGTTCTTGTTTTTGTCACTTATACCATGTTCTGACCGACATCGGAAACATGTTTTCGTTGCTAAAACTGGTTTTCGACCTAAAACTTGTGTTTTCGTCCATATAAAATCTGTTAAACGAAAACCAGTTTTCGCTGAAAACTACTTGAAAACTCACTTTCCACTCATTCCAATCGGTGTCTTCACTAGTTTTTTTCGATTATTTATCGAAGTGGAAGTCATATTTTATCATCTTTAATACGCCATTTCGGATTTATTGTTAATTGCCTGGCCAAAGCAAAATAAGAATGAAAGTTAAAGGTTGTAAATGAAAAGAAAATGAAGGAAAAATGTTTTGGTTGTCGGTCAGAACATGGTATTAAATGCAAACACTTGGAAATTGAATTTTGGTTTCACAAATTTGATTTTAAGTACATAGATTGAAAATACATCAACAGGCCATTCACTTTTCCTTAAAAGCACCAAGTAAATGCAGGCAACATGTAAACACAATACAGCTGATATGCACTTTGACACTTTATCCATTTTTACTCGGAGAGAATTTCGGGCTATTTCGGGCAGGAAGAAGAATACACTTACGATCGAATACGCTCGAATTTTCGCTCTCTATTACCCATTTTGTTGAGTACAGGCATGATTTCTGGGCTATTTTGGGCACACGCGGGATCTCGCATTGCGTACGGGAAAGAAACTACTTAAATATAATTAATCGATTATCGATTCACAACAACAAAGTCATCAGCAGATTTTTGCGAAAAGTTACCTTGCCATACTTATTTACTACTTAACAAGAATTTTAGCAAAATGTTGCTGATTTTGGTTAAATAAATCATTTATTTCAAAGAAATTTTTATTTATTATTTTTGTAAATTTCTGGAAACCGATTGAAACCTGTGATTGAAATGGTTTCGGTATCGTTCCTTTTCAGGTCAAGATAACGGTTACGGTTTCCGTTTCGGTTTTGAAAAACGAAACGGTTTTAAACGGTTACGGTTTCGGTTTGGGTTTCGGTTTCATTCCTTGGTTTTGAGTTTTATGTTAAGTTAAAATTTCTGCATTATCATCACTTGCTTCTTCACTATATCCGTACTGTGGATTTCGTTTACGAAAACGAAGCGAACGTACGTGTGGTACGAAATAGTGATGTAAAAATATCTAAAATTTTACCTACTCTCAGACTTCTAAATTTGAATGTATACTCGATACAAGCAGGTGGGATGAATGGCGCAATATTCAGGTAAAGTAATAAAATAGCTTTCTCGTTTTATTTTCTAACGTTTGGCTGCCTTATAAATAGTCACATTTTATAGGCAAATTTTCAAATAAGGCAGTACCAACAACTTTCTTCTCACTCTAATATTACTTCACCTGGTATAATTCCACCATGGGTGGGGTGCATGCACTAACACCATACGCAATAATTCCCATTACTTCGACATTAAAAAGCAGTTTCAGAAGTGAACTAGTGTCATTTTATTATTATTATTATTTTTTTCTAAACGGTTATAATGCCACCTGTGCATAATTGTGAAAGTAGGGGTGGCGCGTCGTTGAACGCGTTGAACGCGCGCNTGCCACCTGTGCATAATTGTGAAAGTAGGGGTGGCGCGTCGTTGAACGCGGTGCGGCGCGTGAACAAATTCGTTCATTTAACTTGTTCATGTATTAAGCCCTGTATGCAGCTCTCAAGAAAACGGTCAAGAAAAAATTGCCATTATTTCGCGTGTGTGTCCAAGGAATTTTGACATTTTTGATACCTCACAGCCTGTTGCCTCACTCTTTCCTCAAGAAATAATGGAAAGGGCATATATTTCTGTTGCAAACCTGGGTTGCCTTGGGCTATTTTTTCACAAAAAACTTTAGAAAAGCGTAGTAGAAAGCGTAGTAAATTTCTTAAGAACTGCGTACTGCCTGAAGGAAATTTGACTGAAGGAAATTTCTTAGCCATTTCTTGTACGTCATTTTGTATGGAATTTTAGCTTTTCTTGAGAACTGCATACAGGCCTTTACTTTTGGACAAATGTAACTGGGTGACTACTTTCATATGTGCACTGTTTTGCTTTATTACTCAATTGTTAAGTTTAAAAATTTGNAGCGTAGTAAATTTCTTAAGAACTGCGTACTGCCTGAAGGAAATTTGACTGAAGGAAATTTCTTAGCCATTTCTTGTACGTCATTTTGTATGGAATTTTAGCTTTTCTTGAGAACTGCATACAGGCCTTTACTTTTGGACAAATGTAACTGGGTGACTACTTTCATATGTGCACTGTTTTGCTTTATTACTCAATTGTTAAGTTTAAAAATTTGTCTTATGGTCTATTAGATCCGATCATTGGATCATGAAGAAATTAACGGTACCTTTTAATTTTTTTTTTTTTTATGAGAATTGAAGTCGGTTTTGTTTTTTGCTTAAAAAATACTTGTTATATATCTACATATCGTCGTTTCAAGTACAAAACTGCGTATCGTCGTTTTCTGCAAATTCGCGAAACTGACATTTTTTGCCAAAAATTGGATTTTTTCACCGAAGCTCTTGGCTCAAGCCTTATCCAATCGTCCTGAAATATACTAGCCAGAAATGTGATTGCTTTATAAAAGAGAGAACGATTTTGAAATATAAGTGCTTTTACTCTCTACAAAATAATTTATGTAACCTCACATACGCGGTTTTGTAATTTAAACGACGACATATTACTAAATAGTAATCGTAGTAAAAAATAATTTCCGTATACCACCTCATTTCCGATGTTGGGAAAATCTGTTGATTACTCAGCTCCCTATTTAAAAGAATGAATCTTTTTGACAACAGTTTAAGTATGATATATGTATGTAATTAATATTTTAGCCCACGTGAACGTGCCGCATTCACCCTCTTCGCGCCTAGCAAGTACGTATTTCCACGATATGTAGTTATATCATTTCTAAATAAGGGCCGCAACGTCGATGCGCTATTAATATTTAAGCCGTTTCGTAAGTTAGGCGCAATATATGGACGCTGACTTGTGTAGAAGCCTACTCCTTGCTGCTGTGTTGGTTGCGTTTGCTGATTTCCCGAATTCGGTTGAAGTGGTGGCAAAATGGAGTTGACTGAAAAGTTTGGTCGCGCAAAAGTCGAGGTGAAACTTTGCGTATTATTCTGTAGCGATTGTGATCCTGGCAATTGATTTTTCTTAGTTATAGAAGGTGCAATGTATGGTGTTTCTGGAAAGTCTTCTTCCACTGGTATATCATATTTACGTCCCGAAGAAGGATTCGTAATACTAACAACTCTTTTACCACCTTTGGGACAAGGTTTGGGATAATCATAGCCCTTGGGAATCTCTTTTACTATATATTTCTCAAAAAATAGATCTTTAGTTTCTTCTGAGGAAGTGTAATTTGAATTATCTAATAGCTCTAGTGTTCGCGCTTTATCCATGCCCAGCGACTGCGATCGAGCGCTCGTTTGATTCTTCCTCAACGCTGGCACTAATTCAGCATCGCCTTTTATCTTTTGTACAGGTTGTGTAGTGGTCTCAATTTCCGAGGACTCTTCAACAGGCTTTACCGGCTCTTTTTTGCCTTCATCTTTGGGCTTTGGCTTGTTGGCCATTTCTTTTTTATTTTGTTCATCATTTTTAGTTTTCTTTTTCACAAAATCAAATAGATCATCTATATCTGGTACGTCGGGTATACCACCGTAGGTATCAAAATTATCTCGAAACGCATTAGCCCATTCTTCATTTTTATGCAACTCGGGATTAATTGCTAATTTGCCACTACTTTTCCCACTGTGATTTTTAATTACGGTAATTGTTTTAACACGCGTTCCCTCCTTGGAATCGATATTCGTCGCTGCATAGCTAAGGCTTGTGTCTCGTTTAGTCTGGCCTGTTGACTTTTGATCAGCCATCCTTGCACCAAATGTGTCTGATATTTCGCCATTGGAACTACGATTACGTATTCCAGTTAGTGTTGATGCGTCGACAAGTGTGAGTACTACGATCATAATTATGGATAAATATATCTGAAACGAAAAACGAAAAATGGTAATTAAAACGTTTGAGCGAATACAGGCAATATGACACGGTAAGTTTATTTGTAATACTGGAATAATGCAGTAGCTACTTGTTCTGTAGTAATAACCTTTACTAGGACTATTGAAACCATAAAAAGATGTAATGAAAACAAATTCATTGGAATATATATTTACCTCGTAGCGGCCCAATTAAGATTTAGTTAAGTTGAAAACTAGCTTAACTTAACCATCGCTTAAGAAACATAATTCTCGCGAAAAGGGCATTATTTTATGGGAAATAAAATGTTTCTCAGATGTAAGAAAATAATGTATGTAAATATTTCCAAAATTAGATACTTAGTGGATGTAATTTTAGCAAGAAATTAGTTGCGTTCCAGATGCTTCACGATTTGCAGGTTTTTACAGGAAGTCGTTCCTGTAGGTTTATTAATAGAGAAAACAGCTGTTCCTGCAAATCGTGCATCTGGAACGCAACTATTATAGGAGGCTGGAAGAATTGAATTTGGGCATTCGTTGCTGTTGAACTATCTAGACACTTCTATGGATCAAAGACGTGGGACGCGGGACGACAGGACATCGTTAAATGTAAACAAAAATTTACACATTCTTCTCATCATTTTCCTCTGCTGCCCAATGGTGGCCACCATAGCATACACACTCATGCCTACTACGTTATGCGGTGGATGCCATCCGCAGTGTGAAGGATTCGTTTCGAGCGAATGTCATTCTTCGTACCAGAATAGGCATGTATTCTACGAATGTCATTCGCACGAATCTAATCCTCCACGCTCGCTTGTTATGACAGTGCGATTCGGATAAGATCCGTGCGGATGGCAGCCGTCGGATACCGTAGTAGGCATGATTATTAGACAGAAGCGGTCTGTTTTGGTTGTTGTAACAGAATACAAATTTCCCAAAGATTTTTTGAGGAGTCATGCTGAAGCGGCAGTCCTTGGCCAGATAGAAATTTGGGCGTTCCCAGTTACTTAGACCCGACTTTCGCGTGAACGACGCTGCTATATTTATTCGGGGCCACCACGCAATCCAAAGAATATGCATGCCACCTCCGTATCTATTCGAATTCAGTAATACCATTTCCGTAGATTTCACGAAAAATCGGAACACGATAGATTCAGTGATATTCCCCGATTAAAACAGACGTGCAAAGCATTCGGTGCATTTACTACATCTACTCTCTCTTAAACGGACAAGGCTAAACGGAGACTTTCCAAATTGCTGCAGATAATCGGTGAAAGACAGCGCGCCACTTGGAATGCGAAAATATTTTGTTCTAAAGCCATTGGCCCTGACGGACTAAGCATGCCAATGTAAAGACACATGGGAACATCGGAATTTAAAGAGGCAAGTCATGCCTAAAATTCCAAAAATAGTAGGTGTGGTGGTACCGCTTTTAAAAGCAGCCAACCAAGTGGACTCGAAAACGCCTTTCCCCAGTTGTAAATACAGTTTTGGGCGTTTTACTTCCATCCCGTATCCGGCAATAGATCAGCGTGGATTCCGAGTATTGTTTACCACCACACAGTACTAAACGCCATATGCATGACCGGTCAAAGTCCTCAATAATAAACAGTTTCTCTTCAGCGTTGGGATGGTTGCCGCGGTGGCATCGAAAGCATTGCCTCCAGAATTGGTATAAGGTACAGCCTGTAGCCATAAGCTGTCAACGTTCTCTAATTGTGTAGACGACTCCACTGTGTATCGATGATAGCTGCCGTCTACACTGGCGCAACGTATTTCAACACCATTCTGAGGATCGGTTTGGCAAGTCGCGAAGAAGTTTTCTTTATTCGCGCCCCAAGTTCTAGCGTCGGGCGGCTGGAGGACCTTATTTCCCAAGGTGCGACGCTGTGCGCGGATATAAGGCGAGAACTGCACACCTAGTTTTTCAGGCATTGTGGTTTTCGGCGTTCTCGCCAACATACATACATAGAAATACATACACCCGCATTGCGAGTGGCGACTAGTAGTAGATAAACGACTATTATTCGATTATCGCCTTTCCATGGCATTGTGAATGTCGACGTCCCGTGCAATAAGCGACTGTGAACAGTTTTTAGTCGTTAAAAGGGTGTGCGACTAAAAAAAACTCACTTATTGAACGAGAAAACGACATAGAAAATACGATGAACAATCGATAATCGAATAATAGTCGTATATTACTACTATATTGTGATATTATGTCTGAATATAGCACTGAAAACCTGAATGACGCTAAACGCATTTGGAGTAGAACCCCAGACAAGTGCCGAAAGTCAGACACGTGAAAATCGTATTGTGGAGTTTTACTCTGATAGCATAGACAGACGGCAACATTAATACAGATTAACAGCTCAGTTGATGCGATCAAAATTGTACCTGACAGACGGCTGTAATGCGGAAATTCACTTAACTTTTTTAATATTATGGCAGCTGTGGACTTTTTTAATAAAATTAAACTCTAAAATTTGAAGATTAATTATTAATAAAATATGTAATATAAAATAGAATAGTTTTTAATATTTACAATATTTGTCAGGCTATAATTTTTTAAATATTTTTTTTTATAAAAATAAGGTTCATGCTTTAACAAAAATCTACATAAATCGCACTTTCACACTTTATACAGAACTTAAAAATCAAAAAAGTGTTATCTAACTTTCGAGCTTTTTAACCAGAGTTTTTAGAAATTTTTTTGGGTATGCAGTTAACAAGCTTATAAAACATATTGAGTTGAGCTATCCATTGATATTCTTTTGCTGACGCTTTTGCGGTTTTTTTTTTCGTATAAATAGCAAAATTTAGGAAAACTGGCGTTTGACTTTTTTTATTTTTTTCGCAAACGGTCATGCGACATATTCTTCCACAAGAAATTCATGTTTATATATAAAAAAAAAAAAGAAAAAACGACGTCAACAAAAAAAGAAAATATTAAGAATCAATGCGATTTTTTAGCCACTCAAAACTTGCAGTTAGTTTACTAGAATTGTTTAAGCTTGTTAACTGCAGACCCAAAAAATTTCTAAAAATTCTGGTTAAAAAACTCAAAGTTTAGATAAAAATTTGTGGAACTTTTCTAAGTTCTGCACAAAATTTGAAAGTCTGATTTATATAACGATGGCGTGCTTTGTACTGCATGCACGTACGGCCAATAAGAAGAAGAAGAAGATTTATATAGCTTTTTGTTAAAGCATGAACAATATTTTTATAAAAAAATATCAAAAAATAATTTAGCTTGAAAAACATAGTATCTAAATATTAAAAACGCAACACCATTCATCCATTTTGACCGCCCTGTATACGTTTGTAATCGACGCTTTGCTCGATGCTTTTTGTGCGCCGCTCCACTATGTTTTTAGCCTTATGCTAAGCGCATTATAAAAATTCATTCGAGGTTTTTTTCCTTGTTAAATATGCAAAAAGAAATAAATGACCGCCACATAAATTCGCGATATAATTTTTATTAAAACTAAACCCAATTTTATTATTCTGGTTATGAAGTGGAGGTAATGGATATGGAACTGAAGGTAATATTCACTTTTGTTATTCATTTTATAATTCTAAAAATATGTCTGTAACACATTCGATTAATTGAAACCCTTCAAATAATAACTTAAACCTTAAAAACATATCTCTACCGTTGGATTTATAGAAAACTTTAAAATCTACTAGAAGCTATTGATTTTCCTCATTCCCACAGGAACTAAGTAGATCGTCTGTGAAGTTAAGTGGGGACCTATGCAAATTTTCGTTAAATTTGTATCTGTCGAAAACCTTCCAAGCACTAGAGGAAATTTCTCTATTAATTTTTCTGACGATTGATATTCGGTGAAATGAATTAGGTTCGATAAGGTAAATAGTTACAATCACCGCCCTTTTATCGTTTCTTGATCTCTACCGTTAGTTGAACTGGACGACAAGGACTACACTGGCCTTCGCATTCTATGCAGGGCTAAGTAACGTCGCTACAATAACAACAAGCTATAGCTTATTTCGAGTATTTTTCTGCTGTTGGTATTCAATGCAAACAGTATGTGGCAAAAAAAATATCGGATAATAATTTTCGATAATACCTACCCAACTATAAGTGAACACCCCTTAAAAAAAAATTGTTTTGTTTTACTTTATTTAGTGCTCTGAATATTACCAATAACACTGTAAATAACATCCATTTACTAAAAAAAATTATAAGAAATGTCGGATGAGTATCTTTTGAAAAAGTTCCCATGAATGTTTTAAGTAAGTATGAACATTTGATGTATTTGGCATTTTTCTTAATTAAGTAGAAATAAAAGGAAATTTTGTTCCGCAAAAAAGGACTTTGGATGCGTTTTGAAAATTATCTAAATAAAAAAATTAGTTCTCGGATGAAACGCAACGCTCGGATAAAACTCTGGATGCAAGACTCGGAAGATGGCTTGGCAGTCACTCAACGGCCTAAACTAATAAAGCAACATCCGTTTTGGTAACTTGGTTATCTATCTCTAAAGAATGTTATGATTACCCCATTTGGATTAAGGAATGTATGTTGCGCATAGGTACATCCATATTATGACTCGTATTTTACAAATATTAAAATTTCTTGTAAACCATGAATATCGTAATAAAATTTTCATATTGATTAATAGAAGGAAATTGTTGACTTAATTTTGCGATGGGGATTTTTTAAGTTGGTAGGGATTGTTAAACGAGTTTGTATGTGTATGTGAGATTGCTTACAACCGGATAACACGGCCATGAGGGATTTGCCGAGAAATGCAACTCGAAAAGGTAAATAACGATTGATCTATAAATAACCGAATTTTAACTTGGGACACTCAAGATACTGAGTAAAAACGTCTATGCCCAACAAATATTTGGGTTTGAGCTCCACTTGAGGTTAAGTTGAGAACTAAGGTATTTCGCAAATCTCCAACGTTGTTTCTCAACAGCACCTCAAGTGGAGGATCATAGCGTTCTCCATAAATAATTTTTCTTTGTATGAAAATAGGACTGTTTCTCAAGTTGAGAAACTGCTTGTTCTCAACTTAAACTCCAATGTGATTCTCCAATTGGTCTCAAACATATCATTGAAATACTGAAATTGAAATACTAAAATAACTTATACCTTTTTTATTGAAACGACTTACATATGTAGATGAATTTAAATATTAATNCTACACTCCGACAGTAATTCTGCCATTTGATTCACT